TTACAGCCCCTGGTAACCACTGGAATATTGTTTTTGTAAATGAGGAAACTGAGGCTTAGAGAGGTTAAGTGATTTGCTCAAGGTCTCGTTGCTAGAACCTGGCACAACCAGGATTTGAGGTCACTGGACTGTACACTGGTGTTCCTTCCAATCTGTGACACCTTGATCATAGAAAAGAGTCACAGGTGGTTCTACTTCCAGCCACTCCCCTTTTCAGCTGGTTTCTATATTCTAAAATCATGCCTGGCATGCCAGAGGAGCTCAGCACAATTATGAAACAAATTACAGAATGAATCCACAAAAGAAACACTGTCATCCTGACCCTGTGGCTGGGAATAAACTTTGAACTACAGCCTGTGCCTTCTAAAAAACATTGGTTGAATGCTGACTGTGTGCCTGACATGTGGCTCCTCCTCACTGCCCCCAGCCTGCAGTTCCACAGGGCAGGAGGGGCCTGAGGACTAGCTCTGCCTGAAGGCCCTGAGGAGGAAGATTTGTGTTTACATTACCCAGTCAATTTTGTATTTATTTTAGATATTAAGTAGTGACATAAAAGCTGCTGACATTAACCTTCAGGGGCAGAAATTGGCTTTAATGGACCCCATAAAAGTTATTATCGATGGCGGTTGTAGGCAGTATCACTGTGACCTCAGCAAAAGCCTGTGCCGCTGTCAATACTGCTGACAATTAGGACTGACTAATGCAAGGCCCAGTGTGGAGGCAGAGTCGATGCTGCTGTGGCTGGAGGTCGCTGGGACATGCTTTGCATTTCACATTTATATATCAAGGATCTCTGAGGACTTGGTTGCACATCTTTGGTGGCCTCAGTTGAGAGTCAAAAACCTCTCATTGATTCAAATAGAGACAAGCAAAGGACTCAGAATACAGGATCAGAGAGACTGGAGCTCAAATCCAAGCCTTGCCAACATGCTAACTTGCTGGTCGTCATTTCAGTTGACGTTTTCAACCTCAGTTTCCCCTTGTAGCAAAAGGGGAATTATCTGCATTATCAAGAGGATGAAAGGCAACTGAACACGTGCAGCTGAAAGCCCTCCGCAGAGATTGTGGCTTCCCTTGATTCCTGAGCAGTGGCCACCCTGTGAGGTGTTGCCTAACATGTTCAAGCAGAATTGGGCCCTGTTCTGATGGTGAGACCCAAGTCGGATGGAGAGAAGGAGAGAATGGGTGGAGAAAAAAGAGATGAAGGGTGGTGGGAAAGGATGGAGAGTTCTGCAAGAACTGAGACTGTCCTGATAGGGCCTGGCTCCTGCTCAACAAGGCATGCATACTGCGCACAACCTTCGTCTCTCTGTGTCTCTGCCTCCTCAGCGGAGCAAGAACACGGTGAACCTGACCAGTGAATAAAGATGAGCCACTTTTATGACTGCTGTCATTATTTAGATCTGACTATAATAAAACCCTAATGTCACTTCCCAATTGAGGCAAGTGGAGAGCACACGGGCACCACGGGAGTGTGTGGGTCTGAGAGGTCCAGGCCTGAGACAGAAGCAGGGTCAGGAGCACTTTGTTAGATTCTACTCCTCTTCCTTTGCCTGCCCATTCATCCTCTAGTGTTGTTGAGCTTAGAGTTCTGTAGCCAGGGGGAAAAGGACAATGGGAGAGCAACGTGTCCTGGAGAGCAGGCAGCCATCTCCTTGTCTCCACTATCAAAGGCTGAAACTCTTCAGGCTCATTGGATATGTCATTATCACCCAACAGAGGCTTAATTCAGGTGTAATTCAGCTCTGAGGGAATATACAATAATGTGGGCGGTGCGTGCTTCACTCTGTCATGACTTTATGGGAAATGATCATTTGTCATCATGGCAGGAAGCCTTCAAAAGAACAGACAATTTGAGTATTTTGCCACTGAGAGAATTCACTAGAATAACTAGGGCTAAAGGACTCAAAGTTTTAGAGTCACACGGGACTGAATCCATTCCCATCTTGCTAGCTATGTGACTGATGAGATTTCTTAGGTTCTTTGGGATGTAGTTTCCTTTTTCTGTGAAATGGGAATAATAAAATCGACTTCAGAGTGTTGTAGGTGGAGCAAATGAGATCATACAGCTAATGTGTTTAGTGCCGTGCTTGGGTTCTGATCATCAGCCACAACTATTAATGCTAATGCTAATAGTAATGGAATAATAACCAATGTTACTGTTTCTTCATCTTGTGCACATCTTCGTCTTATGTATTTAAGTACTTAAATCAGAATCCTAGATCTAGAAGGGCTTGCAGATCACTCAGCTCAATTGCTACCAAAAGCTATCTATTAAAACACTTGATCCCATCAGATACTCCGAGAATAAAGGATTCTGAGGTCAACAATCTGGGGAATGCTGCATATATCCCTCTGTTAATTTATCCATTAATTGGCATACTATCATCTTAAAGGTTCTGAGAAGTCCTGGAGTAGACATACTGGTTTAACCAAGTGGTTCCTCATTGCTTGACTATGGAATATTTCTCCCTCCCAACCTAAAAACTATCAATATTTTCAGAACACAGAAGATACTGATTTAAGCTGGGCATGGTGGCACATGCCTGTCATCCCAGTGGCTCAGGAGGTTGAGGCAGGAAGATCAGGAATTCAAAGGCAGTCTTAACAACTTAGCAAGGCACTAAGCAACTCAGTGAGACCAGGTCTCTAAATAAAATACAAAAATGGGCTGGGGGTGTGGCTCAGTGGTTAAGTGCGTCTGAGTTCAATCCCCAGTACCAAGAAAAAAGAAAATATTTATTTCATTTAACCATTCTACATATTAGAAAACTGAGGTCCAGAGAAAGGATGGAACTCACCCAATGCCACATCTCAGGCCAGTCATTGAACTGAGACTTCCTGTCCCCTATATAGGACCCATTTTCTCTGTATAGGCCTTGCTCTGTCCTTCAATTTGGTGCTTTGGTTCGGTGCATAGTGGGGTGGGCAGAGGGCAGGGCCACTGGCTCAGTCCAGGCCTTGGTGGGAAGGTAGCGAAAGGGTGTGGGTGGTTCCCTGCTGTAATGGAGAAGCTCCTCAGGGACTAAGGTCACTGGCACTCTCACAGGGTTGGTTGGGAGCCAGGGGAAGGTGGCATTGCCAAGATGATATCCCCGATCTGCCTTTCTCTTGTCCCAGAAACACACAGGCCACCTGAGAAATATCTGAGTTCTCAGGCATGGGTAGATGAATGGACATTTGGAACTCTGCTGCATCTAGCTCTTTAAGAGGATGAAGTTCCTATCTGACCCTGACCTGTCACTTGCCAGATCCTAATCTGGATTTGGTCTCACACAGCTCAGGTGGAGACTCTTTTTCAGACTAACTGGTCTAGGCCGTCATCTATGACCCAGGGCTTACCCTGACCTAGCAATTCCTAGGCTCCTGCATTGGGAGCGGGGAGCCTGCAGGGTGAAATGGCCTCTGGCTGGCTCTTGCTGCTCTAATGCAGACTGCTTCCGCTCTGGGGGTTCTGGTGTGGAAGCACCTGCAGACCCTCTCTGTGGACTTCCCAGAAACAAAACCCTCCCCACCCAGTGGGGCTGTCTCTGGGCTCTTCCACTCTCCTCAGATTTCACAGCCAGACCCCAACAACAGGACTTGCCTCAGTGCTGACCCGGCCAGGCAAAACTGCCCAGGGGCTGGAGGAGCATAATATGAGGGAAAAAAAAAAAAGTACATGTATCAAGGCATAAATTGGCATGAATATACTTTATACACAAAGATATGAAAAATTGTGTTCTATATGTGTAATAAGAATTGTAATGCATTCTGCTGTTGTGCATTTAAAAAAATCAATAAAAAAATATGCAGCAGAAGGGGAGATTCCCTGAGTGCTAGGCTCCATGCAGGACTAGAGTGGACCAGAGCCCCTTGGAGATGTGCCAGCAAGGGCTCAAGAGGAAGAAGGAAAATTCTGAAACTGAGTCCTTTCTTTCCACCATAACAAGGAGGTGGGTAACTAGCTGCCCTGTTTTTCTCCCAGAGCATTTCAGGGCTTTGAGAAAAGGAGCTTCAGTGGAATAAGGATCTGGAGGCAGCACTTCATGAGGTCACAAAGAAGTTGGAGCAAAATCTCAAGTTTTTACTTTTTTTTTTTGGTACAGGGATTAGACCCAGGGGCACTCTACCACTGAGCTACACCCCCAGCCCTTTTAATTTTTTTTTTTTTTTTTACTTTTAGACAGGATCTTGCTCAGCCTGGCCTCAAACTTGTGATCCTTCTGCCTGAGTCTTTGGAGTTGCTGGGATGATAGCAGTTTTAAAGTATATGTTAGTATAGTTTGAAGATCCCTAATCTAAAAATCTAAAATGCTTTGAAATCCAACTTTTGAGCATAATGCCAGATTTTTGAAACATTTCCAATTTCAGATTTTTTGATTAGAGATGCTCCACCTGCAAAGTCTAGGCAAACATTCCCAAATCTTAAAAACTCCAATTTTATGTCCCTGAGCACTTCAGATAAGGGATACTCAGCCTGAATGACTGTAGTCACTATGTGCAAGAGATCATATAAACTTATTCCTAACTGAAACTCTGTAGCCTTTGACCAACATCTCCCTAAACCTCAAGATTCAAGTTAGCCCCAAATGCCAGTTTTTGTTTGTAAACCATTCTTTGATCAACATAAGATACTGGAGATGCTCAGGATTCAGAGATAATGTGAGCAGGATTCAGTCTAGGCACTGTTGATTGAATATAGGACAAGCTATGGGGGATGGGTTCTCACTATCTGGTGTCCCTTGGCTGCTCACATGTAGGCACCTTGTAAACAATAACCCAACCTCTTGGGTTCCTCCCTAATCCAGATGGAAAGGGCAGCAACCCAACCTCTGACATGTTACCCATGGGTGGATATTTCAGTGTCTGTGGAAGAGGCTCTGACTTTTGACCACTGAGAGCAAAGCAATTTCACCAACTTCACCAGAGTCCCAAGTGATGAAACAGAAAATCAATATTGTAATTACAGCCTTAGCCAGCAACCCAGACACCCGACACAGGCCAAGCAAGCCACTCACCGGTTTCTGTGTTCTCATGCTCTGTGTCGGTGAGTGTGAGGTTGGAGTTGGCTCGGCTGGACAGGCAGGAGCTGCGCCCTGACCGTGTGCTCCGGCCCCATAGCCGCACAGGGTGTTCAGGGGACAGCACAGTGTCGGCTTCCATGTCAGCATCAGAACTGGCCCCCATGGAGTAACCACAGTGGGGGAGGCCGATATCTGTTCGGTAGAGGGTCCCATGAGGGGGCGTCACTTCCCCCAGTCCCAGCTCTCGCAGGGTGAAATTGGTGCCTGCGAGAAAACACAGGTGATCTTGGTTAGTGCATTGAGGATAGTCCTCCCACCTGCAGCCCCTTGTCTGGGCTCACCATGGCATTCTCTGCCCAGGCCTTGGTTTGAGGTGTTTCCTGTAACTGAAGGGCTCCTTCTGCCCCTTCTCCACCAGGCCAAAGTCTCTGTAACTAAAGCCCAATTCAAATGGCACCTCCTCTGTGAAGTTTTCCTCAATACCACACCTGTGCCGACTGCCCTGCTTCTTCCACCCAGCCCCTGTCAGAGTTCTTGCCCAGTCTGTGGCATGGTGGACCTTTTAAGATAGAGCTGTCTGCCACTTCTGCTGGAGAGGGCCTCAACAACGGCAGGCAATGTGCTTACTCCTAAATCCTTGTGCCTAGAACAAAGTCCAGTGTTCAGAAGGGACTCAAAATGTGAGCATTAAATTGCATTGAGAGCTTCAGTCTGCCCCTTCCAGGTAGGACTTGCCAGCAAGTCCAGAACAGGATGGAAGCCTAGGCAATGAGACTTTGGTGGTCTCCTTGGAAACAGAAGTTCCTTTCTGGCTGGTAGGGAGAGCCCAGAGTACTAGAATGGAGAAGGTCCTGCCTGTCCAAGGAAAGTTGCCTTGAATAAGGAAACAGGCTACCCCTGCTTCTCCCTCACCAGGTGGGGCTGCAATGGGGAATCAGCAGAGATGGGTCCCTTGAGGGTCCAAAAAGGCCTGGAAGTGCCTGAAACTGAGGCTGGAGAAGATGTGGATGAGGGTTATTTACCCAGGTGTTAGGACCTGAGTGACAAAGGGGATGCTGCCTTCATGGGAAACACAGCCACCTTCATTGCTCTTGAAAGTTACTCCACAGTCTACTATGCCCAGGAGTATTTTGTGGGTAAAGAAGAGGGAGTGTATAATGACTTGAAGGGCCATATGCCAATTAAAGTGACAATCTGGAGACACCGACTTATATCAGGTGGCACCAATTCAAAGCTGGCCTTTACTGAAATGCAACAGTGAGTAGGGTATGGCCCCTGACACGAAAGAGCTCAGTCAAGTGGGGAGAGGCAAGCAAATATGTGGTTGAGGGGTGAAGGCCAAGGTGGGGGAGAATAGGGGGCTTCTGGGATACAGGAAGTCAGACAGCTGGGTGGGGAGCTCAGGGGAGAGGTCTGAGGATGAGGGTGAATGCAAGGAGCAGAGATGGAAGACAGCAGAGGCAGACGCCCAAGCATTAAAGGTTGCATCCCGCAACCAGGGTGGACTGAACATGGTAAGCCTGCAAAGGCAAGTGGAAGTCACTGCCAGAAAGGTGGGGAGGGGACCAGCAGAGGCCTTCTAAGCCTGTGCTCCTTGTCATCTGTGTCTAATACCTATCATGCCTGCTGCAGAGGAGGAGCTCAGGAAAAGTTGGCTAAATAAACACATAAACAAGCACTCCCTGACAGTACTTTTGATGTGGATAAGGGGAGACTGGAGGTGGAGGAGAGACCAACTGGTATACTGCTGTGAAAGAGCTCTTGGGTAAGCTGTGGTAGTGGGAGGTGCATGCTGGGCCTGTCCCCCAGGTGCTACAAGCTGACAGCCTTGATTTGGACAAAGTCATGAATGCTTCCATAATGGTGGGTAAATTCTGTAATTGCTGCCCAAGCCCCCAATGCCTTTTTACATACCTGGTGCCTCAGAGCCTCTGTTCTAGCTATTCCAGATCCTTCCCTATAACCCCTCCTCCCAATCTCCCCACGATCAGTTACTACATAAATGGTTAACATTAGCAGGCCCTGCAACAGCAGGGGCTCCTGGGCTGTGCTCAGTGGCCAAGCAGACATTCTGATTGGCGGGGGTCTGGGCCAGACCAGATGTTACACATTTTGAATATCACCCCTGTGCGGCATACTACAATCTGCCCTCCTATTTTTCTCTCCTTCGAAGAAAATGAAAACTCCAAATTGGAGCCTACATCCCCCAGCCAGCTTCCCACCCTCTCTGCATATCACACTCCCCTAGCTATCCTTTGATCCATACACCCCACTTCTGTCCTGCCCTCACCCTATGTCTGTACTCTGCTGGGCTGGCCTTCTCAAGAGAGGCCATTCACATGTTACAAAAATGACTTCTCTGTTAAGTGAAAAATCAAATTTATTTGCCATAAACAGCCTGGGTTGCGTTGATTTCCATATAGCTTACCCTGCAAACCCTTTTAAGCAGCCAGAATTGGCATTAATACCAGTGAGCTGAAACATCTTGGGACTAGAGGAAAAGCAAGGTAAGAGTCAAGTCTAAAAGCTCAGGAATCCTGTTGAATACACGGTCTCCTCTGGTTTGTGAGTTTGAAGATTTATTTTATAACATGTGAGAAATCCTTGTGCTCTGTTTTGCTTTGTGACGTTTTGGCATCTTTGCTTGAGAAGCAGGACATGGGTTGACATCCCACCCCACCCAACATCTAGCTATGCAATCTTGTGATGATGATCACCTGGGCTTCAATGTTCTTGTCTTTAAAATGGGTGATAACCTATGACCCTCTACCTTCAAAGGAGTTTTGAGGATCCAGGATGGTAATTAATGAACCACTCTGCACATGCCTGCACATGAGATGAGAATGTACAGGATGATCCTTACAGATGAGAGGTGCATCTAAGCTAAGGGCTCTCTGAGCTCTCTCAAGCAGGACACAGCTAACTTTGAGATATTTTATCTCTTCCTCTCACTGAGACCCAGAGATGGCAATTTAATAGCAGTCAGCATTTATGAAGCATCTGTTCATACCAGGCTCTGGTATCAAGTGCATTATGTACGATCCTTACCAATCCTCACAACCACCTGGCTATTAGGTACTATTATCCCATGGCACAGTGAAGAAGCCAAGGGTCAGAACAATGGCAAAGTCAGAATTTGAATCCAGATCCATCTGATGCCAAAGCATGAGCTTTAAGCCATAAGGGAAGAGCTAAGAGCTTTTTCAAGGCTGAGAGGTGGCCTTACTAGCAAGGCAGCTTTGATGTGGATTTAGGCTTGAGGGAGGGAATAGAAATGAGAAAGTCATAAGTGGCTCTGTGTATGTGTGACCTCTGTCATCTTACCTCTGTGATCTTGGGCAAATGATTCAGGGGTTGTTGAAAGAATCAAACAATATTGTGAAAACGTATGTAAATTACCAGAATAGTGCTTAATTGACCCTGTCTTTGGAGAGGAGAAGGATAGGGCAGAATCAGGGTGAGTAGCATGAACTGTGAAGGACTGGTTGTCACGTACCAGGCCTCAGAGAGGGCTTGAGTCTCTGCAAGCAGAGAAACAGGACTGCCCAAGGCGCCAGAGTGGGAAACAACTACCACTGCAGCCTGGGAATGGTTGAGCAGGGTGGGACCATAAGTGGTAGGTGTGGAGAGGCAGGGGACAGAAAATCTAAGAAGACAGAAACTGAGCAGAGAGGGCCCTCCAGTGCTAGGTTAGGAGCTTAGCCTCCAGACCACAGGGTCATCCCTGGCTCACTCTAGTGTGGTGCTGAGAAAGGCCCAAGGGAAGCCTTTCTGTCTTGAAGGATTAACAAAAACCATCCCCTATGAGCAAAGGGAATGGTTTTGGTTAATCTGTCAAGACAGTTGATAATCACCAGAAATGAGAAGGGTAGAGGGAATGGAGAAGACAGATGGATTTGAAAGGTGTTCTGGGATTGGATGAACAGGCTGGTGATTACTGCATGTAGAAAGTGAAGGAGAAGGAGTCAGGTACTAGGAGATCCTCCAAATCACCAAGTTTTCTGTACTTACTAAGTGTTACCATGCTTATCACTAAAAAGTGTCATCCCACTAAGTCCTCACAACAATTCGTTGCAGTAGGGCAACAGCTCATACCTAACACCTAAAGCTTCTAATGCAGAAGCCCAGCTCCTAGACACATTACTATGCCAGGGACTGAGTAAGAATTTAAATAAGCCAAGAATGAACTACAGGACTGGCTTTTACCAGACCTACATGCCCAGTACAGACTTGCTTTGACCCGTCCCAGCTCCCTCTTGGCACACCTGTGCACCCACCTGCGCCTGGCCCACCCTCACCTGTGCGGCAGAACTCCTCAGCCTCCTGCGGCACCATGTCCTTGACGCGGCCACTGTAGGCAAGGCGGGCGTCCTGGTCATAGGCCTTCAGGGTCTCACTGGAGCTGTAGGACTTCTGCGGGGCTTTGCCCTCCTCGCTGTCAGCAGAAGAGCTGGTGTAGCGGCGCTCTGCGTCGCGGCGCCGGGTCAGCGAGCGGTAAGGCTTCCTCTCCTTCACGTCCATGGCTTCTGGCTCTCGCTCCTCCACATCCACCAACTGGGTCCTTGCCGCACTCACGACTGGGTGGACTGGAGTGGGGGAAACCATAAGAAGCTTGTGAGTTCTAGTCTTCGGGAGGTAAAGACAATGCCAGAATTGTCACCTGGCATGGTGACAATGCCCTGGACTACCCTGCCCCTGGATTGGTGGTCGCCCTGAAGTGGGTGAAGAGCCTCAGGCTGGAGAAGCCTCTGTTGTCTGGTCTGTGGCAGAGGGCACTGGCACCCAGGGCCTCCAGTTGTGAGTCCTGTCTCTTTCTGCTACTTGGTCTGTTCATGCTCCAGCCTTTCCTCCAGTGCTGGGTATTAGGGGAGCTGACAACAAAGATCAGAGGGCCCTGGCATTTGGTAATGCTTGTAGGCTGGAACTGGACCCTGTTCCCATCATATCCCAGCTGCGACAGGGGAGGAACCAGAACTCTTAAAGGCTCCTGGAGAATGAATAAATGCAAGCACTGGGAAGAACATTTTGCATATATTATCTTAATAAATCATCATATGCCCCCAGATGTCATTACTGTCTCCAACCTGTTTTGGAAAGAAGTCAAGCTGTAAGCAAACAACCCATAGTCACCCCCACCCAGTAGCTATGTGATTATTTGCTTCTTGCCTGCCTCCTCCACTAGTAGGCAAGCTCCCTGAGGCACGTGCCTCACCTGTTTTGTTTACTGCTTATTCACAGCACCTAGAGCCAGGGCTGGGGCACAGTAGGCACTTAGAATATCTGTTTGACCAATGCTCATGTGTCAGGTGAGGAAACTGAGCTTCAGAGCCAGGACCCAAACTCAGGTCTGTTGTCTCTGAAGCTTGAGTTTTCCTATTCTGTCCTCCCAAGACTCCAACCTCCAATCCTTCCATCTAGCCATCTTCAGACCCATGGGTCTCAGCAGTGCCACCACCAGCACCTGGGAGCACAAGGCCTGCCCCATGCATCTGTGGCTAGCTATGGAGCATATGGTATCTTACTGGGGAAGTTCCTTGTCATCCTTGTTCCTCTTTTTCCCAGCTTGATGCTTTTGCCCTTGACTGACATCTAGGGATTTTTAGCTGTGATATTATCCTCTTCTCCTTCCAGATGTCTTCCTTGAGCTCTGGGGTAGCAAACAATTCCCTAAATTAAGGGGTAAGTACAGGAAGAAAGCAGAATGTCCCTAAAAAGATATATGTAAGATCCTTATTGTTATGGTTTGGAATGTGAGGTGCACCTCAAAATCTCATGTGAGAGACAATGCAAGAAGGTTCAGAGGAGAAATGATTGGGTTATAAGATCCTTAACCCAATCAGTGAATTAATCCTCTGGTGGGATTAACTGAGTGGTAACTGGAGGAGGAGGTGGGGCATTGAGGGTGTGGCTTTGGGTATATATTTGTATCGGGCCAGTGGAGACCTCTCTTTCTGCTTTCTGATCTTTATATGAGCTGCTTCCAGCCACCACACTCTCCCGCCATAATGTCCTGCTTCACCTTGAGCCCTGAATGGAGCCAGCCTTCTATGGAAGAAGACCTGTGAAACCATGAGCCCCCAAATAAACTTTCCCTCCTCTATAATTGTTCTGGTGGGTCTTTTAGTCACAGTGGTGAAAAAGCTGACTGAAACACTTATTTTCTTAAAACCCGGAGACTTCTCCTTCTGGCTTTCCATTGTTTCATTTTTTTCAGAGCAACATGGATATACAGAAAATTTCCTGGATTCACTGTCTTATTTAGAGAAACAGCAGAACAAGAGCCCCATGATAAGTGCAGAGCACCTGGGGCCTCAGTGCTGGGTGGGGCCTCTGACAGCAGGGAGGGTGACTCTGTTCAGGTGCAGGTGCCCAGTGCCTGCCCATGCTGCAGTGGGGGAGTCTGGGGTGGGAGGATGTCCTGTGAGTTTTAAGGGAAGTTGGAAATTTGAATTTAGATACAAAATGTGTGAGTTTTAAACATTACCCTTTAAAAATAATAAATACTTCTCAGGCCAAACAAAACACACTGATACAACAGATTTGCTCTGAAGAGTAGAAGTTCTGCCTGGGATCGTGGACATATGAGGGAGCTCTTTGGCCTAATGATACTCTCTTCCCTTCTAAGACCTCAAAGGCCCTCTCAAGGGCAAGGTTTTAGCTTGGCTCCAGTGCAAAATTCTATCTACTTTTTAAAAGAACCCTCTAGACCCACTCAACAAGTCCTTATGTTCTACCTGTAAACAGTGCCACTTTGCAAGGAAATGGTCGGGGGTTATAATTTCATTTGATGTTTTGGGGGATTTATCATGGACCTGTGTGTCTATTGTAGGCTTTCTCCTCTATAGTTCTTCACACTTTTCAGAGTGCAAACACTTGTGGTTTTATTGGTCCTCATAAAAATTATGAAGTATATAAGGCAACTATTTTCATTCCCATGACATAGATGGAGCGATATTGACCCAGGGCCATATAGTCCTCTGCCTAGGGCCATGTGGTGAGTTAGCAGCAGCAAAACTGGTATCAATGGAGAGACAATTGTACCTACAGCCAGTGAAGGTGAATAGATTGATGAATGACTTTTTTTTTTTGATTGCCAATTCTCAGTACATCCCTGTGATTTGACCTTGCATACACAGAAATCAAGTCATGTGACCAGGGCCCAAACCCATGGCCCTGAGTTCTGCTGTCTTGATTCTCAGTCTCCTGATGGGTTGTCAGGAAGACAGTGGTCTTCAGAACATCTGAGAAACAGATCCCCAGGAAAAACCAGTGATGATGAGTTTTCCTCCAGGGTCTTTCAAACATTCCTGACTGAAATCCAGAGTTAAAAGTACATCTTACATGTGACCCAACACCCACATATAAGATGCAAACAAAAGATTCCTAAAAGTTACTGCATCATGAGCAGACAACTCTGATCAATTTTCTATTTCATTCTCACATATATATATAAAATATATATATTTTAAAGAGAGAGAGAAGAGAGAGAAAATTTTTTAGTATTTATTTTTCAGTTTTCGGTGGACACAACATCTTTATTTTTCATTTTTATGTGGAGCTAAGGATCGAACCCAGAGCCCCATGCATGCCAGGCAAGCGCGTTACCACTTGAGCCACATCCCCAGCCCAAATTCTCATATATATTTTAAAAGGCTGATTATAACTATCCAAGTTGATATCAACACAGTACTGGCTTTTGATCCTGAAGGCAACTGCTGCCTCTGTGCCCTCTGGCCTTTCCAACCCCTGAGTGACAAGAATGCAGGTGAGCATAATAAGAATTATTAAAACCATTATTAGAACTAGTAACTAATAGCTCATAATAATAAAATTAGTATTAACAACAACTAATATGCTTTCATTAGTAGCTAATATTTATTGAGTCCTTACTTTTAACTATTATTACACTTGCTATCATTTTTAATCTTTATGTCAACCCTGTGATTTGGGTATTATGGTTATCTGCAAATTACAGATGAGAAATTGCCAAGTTGAGTATCCTGCCTGAGTTACACAGTTTTTGCCTAGTAGATCCAGAATGGTGCCCCAGGATATTGAACTCAGCACACAAATATAACCGCTAGATGGTATTGCTGTTACAAGCTGTCCAGATGAATTGGCAATGCCAGGTCATGCTTCTGACTTCTTATGCTCCCTAGCAATCCTGCTGAGCCAATAGGATGAATTCTAATTTTGGCCAAAATGAAGGCTCTTCTGCATTTGGACCATCTCTTCCCATCTTACTGGGCCACTTGTGTTTTCCAGACATTAACTCTGGCCTCTCTGCCTTTGGGAACACTATTCCATCATTGCCCATGTAGCTAACTAGATGGTTTGTTTTCTTGTCTGCCTCTCCTTTTGACTACAGTTCCTTGAGGGCAGGCTGGGCATCCGCAGTGCCACAGAATGTCTGCTAAGTGAAGAAGTGAAGAGAATTGTTTGGCAGCTACTTTATTCCTTCTTAAGTAACACAAAATCTTGGTAGTTCCCTGTAGGTTAATATGTATTAAGTAAATCTGAAAGACTGGGCTAGATGTATTCCCCACTGACTAGCTGTACAACCCCAGATAAGTGATTAACTTCTCTGTGTTTTAGTTTCCTCATCTGCAAACTCTCAGGGTTGTTTTATAGATTAAATGCATCAATATATACCCCTGGTATATGGTCCCTGGTACATAATGAGTGCTCACTATATATTAGCTATTATTGTCATCAGAAAATTACATGTTTTCTCTTAAAGGGTGTAATTTAGAAGGCTCCAGCTACATATCAGGTATAACTGGAGAAGGTACATCAACACAGAATTTTATGCTATAAGGCCGAGGACCACTATAGGGATTACACCGGAGGATGACTACTTCTTTACATCAGCTTTAACCCGTTGACTAAAGACACGGGCTTCAAGGCAAAGGCTCAGTAACTACAAATTATGAAGAACACAGTCCCCAAACTCATATCTTTCTTGTCAGAAAGCAGAGGCAGGGATAACAGGACTACCCACTCCAAACCCCTGCATATTTTCATCTTAATAGCAATTCAGGAAATATTTACTTATTTGAATAGACAGGTCAGTCATGGCTCACATTCAAATTGGCATTGAATAGTGAGAGTAAGAAGAGGGTAGGGTGGAAGAGGAGTAACAGTGGAGAAGTGTCCCCTTGGGGCAAGAGTCTCCGAAGCAGAGACTGGGAGGCCCTGACAAGAGGTTGGGAGGGATGCTGGGGAAGTGGCCCACCTGGAGCTCTGTGGTCTCCATCCACGGGTCAGAAGCAGTGTGGCACATAGCCATGCTTAAACATGCTTGTTCTTTCCCTACGGTGGCTAAGATCTGAATGTATTCTCCCAAAGTTCATGTGTTGCAAATTTAATCTTCAAATTTGTATGTTGATGGCATTGAGAAGTGGGGCCTTGGGAGGTAATTAGGGTTAAATGAGGTCATGAGGGTGGGGACCCCAGAATGGGTTTAGTGGCTTTGGAAGGAGAGGAAGAGAGACCCAAGCATGCAAGTTTGCGCTCTCTTGCCACGCAATGCCCTCCATCAGGTAAAGACGCATCACGAAGTCATTTACTAGGTGCTGGTATCTTG